CTTTACTCCTCCTTAAAAATTGCAAAAATTAAGCAAAAAAAAGGAGTTAACTCCATAAATTCAAAAAGAAAGAGGGGGGGAAATCCTTCAAAAAGGGGTCATTGCAATAAAAGGAAAGGAGTTCAGAAAAAAAGAAAAGAGAGAAAGAAAAAAAAAGGGGGAGAAGAAAAAAATAATTAAATAGAAAAGGTCCGTTCCATTTTTTTTTAAAAAAAAAATACTTAGAGATACCAAAAACAAACACAAAGATTAAACAAAAATAATAATTCTAACAGTCCATTCCAATCATAAAAAAATAAAAAAGGAAAAGGGAAAGGAAAAAAAAAAAAAAAAAAAAAGCACCAAAAAGCCTGCCGGTCAGCATTCTAACTTCCAAAAAAAAAAAAAAAAACACCGAGAGATTTGCCGATCGCCATTTTACTTCCCCTTTCAGCAAAGAAGGAGAAATAAAAAGAGAGAGTAAAAATAGAAACAAGTCTTAAAAACTTAAAATCCAAATAAGTCAAAGAAAGCAAAAACTAAATCCTCTACTCAGCTCTGTCCGTTTAAAAAAAAAACTCACCAGTTCTCTTTAAGCACGGAGGTGTTTGCAGCGGCTCGTTTTGTCCCTGAGGACAAAAACAGCTGGGAAGCGGAGACAAGTCTGAACTCCGTGGGAGCACTCCTTTCACCCCCCAAAAAAAGGACTTGGGGGGTGCAAAAGAGGCTCTACCACTATTCAGACACTCTCTGCCCCCCCCTTTGCCCGGGAGGGGGATTTTGAACCGCTGAACAGCTGATGTCTGCTGTTCATAGCAGTTCTTACACTTACCCAGGAGGACGGCTACAAAGTAGCCGCCATCGCGCGCGCAAAATCCACCGGAAGTCCCTTGGAAAAATCTTTACATTTTTTACCCTAAAATATAAATCCGTTGTAATAAAAAAAAAAAGTCAATTCTTGAAAACGATTGATGTCTGTCAGAAAAAAAAGTGAAGTCTCTCTCTTCCATATTGCATTCCCGCCAAAAATCTCTCAGTTCCAATCCTCTTTCAAATCAAAAAAAGCCTTAGGTAGTATGGCTTGCTTAAAAGAAATAGACAGTCCTTTCTTATCTCTATGTGTATCCAAAACTCCATTCCAATCCCCCATCAGAATAACAGATCTATAATCCAATGAAATCAATTTTTGATGTAAAAACCTATACAACTGTTCTTGTTGTTGATTAGGAGCATACAAACCCACTATGAGCAATTTCTTACCATACATTCCCACTTCAATCATAACATATCTCCCTTGAGGATCAGAATCTATTAATACAGCTGGTAAATTTTTCTTAACATAAATAACAACACCCCCTTTTTTCCCAAGAGCAGATGATACAAAATGAGAATCCAATCGAGCATTAATCAAATATTTTTGATCCTTTGAAATAATATGGGTTTCCTGCAAACAGACGATGTCATTATTAAATTGCTTCAAATAATGAAATATTTTCTTCCTTTTCTGTGGAGAATTAAGGCCATTAACATTCCAGGTCAGGAGCTTTGCCATCTCCTCCATCCATTAGCCTAGAGAAGACTGCTTGAAGATCTGCCATTGAAGATTGAACCAACAAAGATCTCTTAGGTCTTGCTCCTCCCACAGGCTCAGAAGCAAATTCTTGTGTAACTTCTTTAATTTCCTTCTTCTGTTGCTCCTTTTCTTTTCGTCTATGCGCTGCTCGAGTCATTCTCTGTTCTTTCATCTCAGACTGCTGTAACTCAGCCTGTAATTTTCCAACTTTCATTGATACAGCATCTTCAGCCAGCTGCTCTCCCTCCTTCACTTCCAAAGCTTTAAACATTATAGTGATGAGCGCGCTCCCAGGACCGAAGTATAAAACTCTCTTGCCTTAGAAACAGTATTAAGTCTATAACGTGTCCCTGCGTGACTCACCACAATTCCAAATGGAATATCCCATCTGAATGGCATCTGTCGCTTTTTAAGTTCATCTGATAAAAAAGCAAAATCCTTTCTTCTTCTTAAAATTTTTGATGGAATCTCCTTTAAAATTATAACATCCTGAGCAGCAATCTGGAATCTCTTATTATAAAATGCTTATATAATTTCATTGCGTAAAGATCTTTTCCCAAAATAAATCACCACATCTCTTGGCAAATTTCTCTGCTTTGCAATCCAGGAATTGACTCTGAATATTTTTTCAATTTCTCTAAGTATCTCCTCTGGATCCCTCTCCAAAATCACAGCAATGTCATTTGCCACCACCTCTCTCAGATTTTCTTGCATATTTTCCCTCAAACCCCTGATTCTTAAAGCGAACTCCATCTCTCTGTACTGAGACATAACAATTTCATCCTGTAAAGTTTCCACCGTTTTTTCCACACTTTCAACCCTATCCTCCAATAAATCCACTTTGTCTACAATATCCTCAATACGAGAGTCCAGCTTTTCAACAACAGAGGCAAGTCCTTTTAAAGCCAAAACTATATCCTCCCTCAAGATGTTATTTCTCTCTACTAAAAGCTCCTTCATTTCTCCTCTAATTTGACATACAACGTTTCCCATAACATCTTGAAGGTCTTTTACCGTAAGTGGTGGTACAGGCGGAGAGGGTGGTGGTGATCTGGACTTAGGTTGTTGCACTGGTAATATTACCAGAGAAGAAGCCACTTTAGGCACAGCAGAGGTCGCTTGACGCTTAGAAGCCATTTTAAAAATTTTTCCTCCTTCTTAAAAAGAAAATCCAAAAGACCAAAAAGGAAACAAAAAAACCCCTTTTCTGTCTGTAAGAAGAAGAAATATTCCTCCTCTTACAAACACCCAAAGTCCAAAAAAAAGTTCTGAAACTATTATAAAAAAGGGAATAAAAAAATAATAAAGTACAAAAAAATTCCTTTCACTTTCCTTCCGTGCGCTTAAAAAAAAGGAAAAAACCTCTCATCGCCATTTTACTTTCCCTCACTATAGAAAAAAATATATATAATTCTTTAGAGTTAAAGTCCAAGTAAAACATAAAAATACAATCCACTGATCAGCTCTGTCCGCTTCTAAATCACCTCACCAATTTTCTTTAATTGCGGATGTGGGAGCGGCGTCTTGCTTTGTCCCAAGAACAACAAGGGAGAAAGGCGTCTGAGAAGTGGAGATGCCCTGAACTCCGTGGGAGCTCACCCTTTGCCCCCCAAAAAACACTTTAGGGTTTCAGAGGCTCTACCACTATTCAGGGTAAAAAAACCTCACCTCTTTCCTTTTGCCCAGGAAAGAAGTTTCAAACCGCGGAACAGCTGATGTCTGCTGTCCTCGGCGGTTTTAACGCTGTCTCAGACGGACGGCTACAAAGTAGCCGCCATCAGCAACGCAGCGCCACCGGAAGCCGAAACCCGCCCTTATTGACAAACGACTCCCTAACACAAAAAATGACACCAGACCCACACTCACAAAAAACACACAGGATGTCACCACCACACATCCACGCAAAAAGCAAACCCAAAGCCACACCGATGATGAGGCACGACCACAAACCAGAAGCCGGACCACAGCTGCATCATTAGCCACTTTAAACCCCTCCAAACCATACATGAAGCAAACTGACACCCACCATGAAGATGAGGCACAACCACGAATGTGAAGCCAAAAAATAGCAAGGCAGCCCACCATCTTAAATCTTCCTGCAACTCAGACTAACCTGAGCACAACAAAGCCCCCACCCAAACAGAACACTCCCCCAGCCAATCAGAGCACAGCCAACCCTCCAGCCAATCAGAGCACAGCCAACCCTCCAACCAATCAGAGCACAGCCAAGCCCCTAATCAATCAGAACACACCTCCACCCAATCAGAACACAGCCAAGCTCCCACCCAATCAGTTCATACCCCCACTGGCAGTTAAAAGGAAGAAACAGCTAAGACCACACATTGCTCCTCGAAGGACGAAGCTGAAAACACCAGCCTGAAGATGACGAATGGGACTTCGTCGAAACGTCGCCAAGACACTTCCAATTTTACACGGGAGAAAACCCGAATAACCAAAGACCTATATCTATAGATATAGATATAGATATTTGATATATTTTTTAAATTTTTGATATATTTTTTAAATTTTTGATATATTCTAACCTTGCCAAACAGCAAACAGATTAGTAAAATTCTTTGCCTCTTTTCCTTCCTTGTTTGCTAGAAAAAAGAATTATACATGTAATACATACTTCCCTCCCCCAAATTTTACTACAAATACATCATTCATTTTATGAGACTGTCCACTTGCAACTGATTCTGGGAGGCCAATATTAAATCATATAAACTTCTGAAATGCATGTCTGCAAAGAAAGCAGGCTGTGGGGTTGATACCAGGGTGAATCTTGACCATTCTGTTCTGAAATATTTTGCATCTACTCCCACCAATTGTAACACACATGTGATGCCAGTTTTTATACAGAATCATGTTGCTTTCTGATTCAAATGTTGCTTTTAACTATTAATATATTATTTCAGTCCTCATGCATTGACCAAGGAAAACACTATTTTCATTTGTTATTTAAGGACTTCTAAGCAGAGATGCAGATGCAATAGGGACTACAATAACTCCCTCCCACTGATTAAATGATGGTTTATGAAGGCAATTCTTGGTTCATATGTTTCCTGTAATTCAGGAATAACTTTAATGAGGCAGCAAATGCCACAGTTCAAACAGCTTGCTTTTCTGGTGGAGAAGAGCCCCAATTTGTCAATCCACCCAAATATTTCCTTGCCATGGTAGTATTATGGTTTGAATGACTTATGGGGCCCAAATGGAATGATCCTAGCATACCACTTATGTATTTTGAAGGGGACTGCAGTAAATTTTTATTTCTTTAAAGAAAAGAGAGCAATGCACTCAACAATAGGCCAACAGCTGAACGTTGACTGGAAAGCATTTCCTCTAACAAAAGTTAGATGGGCCATTTTTGGTCTTCTTAAAAGTAATCCTTGCCACAAACTTGAAAAGCAACCAGCCTTTTGTGATCTTTAGGAAACAAGGTTACCTGCTTATTATGGTCTATTTCAAATTGCTGGCATTCTTTGCTGGATAGGCAGCAAAGAGAAGGATATTTCTCATGAGCTTGATAGAAGTAGGAACTGTTGAAATCTGCATAGTTGTTGAATCCACAGCATTTCAGCTAGAACAGGAAGATGCATGGGGTTTACAGTTGCCAAAAGACAGGGAAGCAACCAGAAAAATATTTACTATCTGAAAGATGCTAAGACATAAATTCAGTACCTATGGGAGCTTTGATACTAAAGCATTATGAGAAATAACACACTACAATTAAGATATATACATTTGGAGATTTATATTATCCAATTCATTATACCCAATGTCTTAAAAACTAAACAAGCTATTTTCCAAGGTTTTTCCAGAGAATAGAGAGATAGAATTGAGATTAGATGAAGTAATACTACCGCTTTATAAAGCCTTATTGCAGCCATACTTTGAATACTGCATCTAGTTTTAGTCACCAGAATATAAAAAAGATGTTGATATTCTGGAAAGAGTACAGAGAAGATAACAAGGATGATTAGGGGGCTGGAGGCTAAAACATAGGAAGAATTGTTGCAGGAATTGGGTAGGCATATTCTAGTGAAAAAGACTAGGGGAGACATGATAGCAGCGTTCCAATATTTGAGGGACTGCCACAAAGATGAGGGAGGCAAACTATTTTTCAAAGCATCAGAAGGCAGGACAAGAACCAATGAATGGAAATAATCAGGGAGAGAAGCAACCTAGAACTAAGGAGAAATTTCCTAATGATGAGAATAATCAACCAGTGGAATGGCTTGCCTTCAGAAGTTGTGGGTGATCCATCACTGGAGGCCTTCAAGAAGAGACTGAACAGCCATTTGTCTGAAATGGATCTCCTGCTCATGCTGGGGGTTGGACTAGAGATGACTTTCAAGGTCCCTTCTAACTCTATTATTGTGTTCTCTTATTCAGCTGATTCTTCAGATTGCTGCACATATATAATTAATTATATTTTCTCAGATTTTCTGTTCCTTCTTGCACTTTATTGATGCATACAGAGATTAAAACAGAACAGTCTAGATGCAAGTAAAAATTAAATCATAAATGAAAAAAGAGACTTTTCCACACATACAATGGTATTTACTTAAAATGTGCATGCATCCTCCTGGTTTATTTGCATTTTCAAAAAGGTTTTGCTTTGCCCTTTTAATTTGCTGTGCCAATTTTTCTGATTCTATTAAATTTAATTTTATTAAATTATATTTTATTATTTCCATTTGTCTTTTCAATATTTTCTTTTGTGGGTTTGTTTGTAGTTCAAGTTCTAATTTTTTTAAATTCTTCTCTTAACAACTGACATTGTTGTCTCTTTTCTTTATTATTTTCCGCCATGTATGTTATTGCTACACCTCAAAAATAGTCCCTGTTCCACACCATTTTTAAAGAATTATGATCTGCCCAAGTACCTAATTCTATTTCAATTTCCTGCATGTTAACCTTTAATTCAGGCATCATCCAAGTCATATCAATTCTAGACCAAGATTTATGACTATTAGAATAAAATGTATATTGTGATTTTCCTGGGTTCGTTTCTCTCCAAATATCTTGTACACCAATTTCCTCTATCATGTTAAAAAAAAGTCTTGGGTAATCTTTTTCTTCCTTGTTTCCCTGATTTACTGCTTTTATAATCTAATGTCCCGTCTACTATTGCATTGAAATCCCCAATTAAACATATATTTTGATATTCCATTTCTACTACTTTTCTGTAAAGGTTTTGATAAAATTCTTCTTGTTTGTTATTTGGTGTATATATTGCTATCAAAAGTATCTGTTTTTGATTTAAAAATATTTCTACCATTAGTATTCTTCCTTCTTCATCTGTATAAATAATTTTGGAATCTATTGTCTCTTTAACATATATAGCTACTCCTCTTTTTTTTGTTGTTGAGCTGATGTGTAATAAAATTTTCCAAGTTTTGGATTTTCAAAAAATTTATGACATTTGTTTTATGTGTGTCTCTTGCAAACAAATTATATCAATGTTTAATTTCTGTAGTTGTTTGAAAATTCTTTTTCTTTTTGATGGGGGATTCATATATTCACTGAAAAAACTCCATTTTCCTTCTCCATTTTGATTTACTTATATTTAGGTCTTGTTGATCTCGTAATCCTCTGCTCTTTTACTGTTCCCTCACCCTCTTGGTTCATCTTCTCTTTTTCTTCTTCCACCTGTGTAGATGTTTCCTCTGTTGTTTGTTCTGTATGTTTCTAGCTTTTTTCATCCTCTTGTTGATATTGTGTTTTTTCTCCCAGAAATGCTCTATATCTTTCATCAAGATCCTGTGCCTTCCACACTGAATCCAATCAATATCTTGTATTATTTCAATTGATTAGAATCCCTTCTGACATCAGCCATCTAAAATTTACTACTTTTGCAATCAGCTTTGTAGTCAAGAAATGATATTGTCTTCTAGTATCCCTTATTCTCTTGGGAATATGTTTCTGTCAGAACTCATATGTTAAAAGGCTTTTCCTTTTTCCTTTCTCTACCCATGTTGCATTCTCTTCTCTCCCTGGGTTCTGCCATACTCCTGGAAGGGAGGGGGAAGCGCTTGGGGTTTATTGCCTTGCTTCCTCTATCGCTACAATGTAACACTCTGCTGTTCCTGGTCTTCTGTGAATTAATTGTCACCTAGAAAGGGGGGAGGAGAATGGAATGTACCTCTGGCAACTATGTTATCTCCGAGTTCACAAGGGAAGGTGCGAAGAGCTGCCTAAACATCGCTGCAGTCCGGAGTCGGCCTGATGTTATCTCCTTTTCCCCACAACGAACTTAACACCTTGAGATTGGCCTGTTTGAACTGACCGGATGAACTATGGAATGGGACTATGCTTGGGGATACTTTTTACCTATTGATCTGGCGGGAAACCCACAGATCCTGTCTATTATGCCTACTATCAGCTTCTCCTAATAAAAGCTCCTTTTGGAAGAAATCGCTTCCACGTGTTCTACTTTCTTGGGATGAGGTATTGAAGTGGGCCCTGACAGTTTCAGCACTACTATTTCTTTGAGTTAAAGTGAAAGATAGACTAACAAGTTTGCAGTGGCATGCCAGATAGTCATCTGAGGGTTGGCATTATATAATAATAATAATCTATATCAATTATATATAAATAAAAATGTAAATGTTTGTTTGTTCAAAATCTTAAATCTCCAAAAGTTCTTCATCGATTGCTTTGAAATTTTGACACAATGTTGCATTCGAATACTCACGTGTTTTTATATACCTATTATTATATAGATGTCACACCTGTGACAGGTAAAAACATGCTTTTTGTGAAAAACAGTGCCATCTGTTGGATGTAAAAGCAACACACGCTACAATTTCAGACAATCTCTATATCTGCACAGACAATGGAACAAAAAATATTGTATACCCACAAGCATTGTGAAATTAAACATATTACAAACGTGCGCTTTCTCTTTTCTTTCTTTTCCATTTAACCAGAATGAGCCACAGGAACGCGTGGCTGGGTACAGTTAGTAGTAGTAATATTATTATTATTATTAACAACAACAACAACAATGATAATAATAATAATAAAGTTGGAAGGGACCTTGGAGGTCATCAAATCCAACCCCCTGCTCAGGCAGGAAACCCTACACCATTTCAGACAAATGGCTGTCCAGTCTCTTCTTAAAAACTTACAGTGTTGGAGCATTCACTGCTTCTGGAGGCAGGTTGTTCCACTGGTTAATTGTTCTAACTGTCAGGAAGTTTCTCCTCAGTTCCAGGTTGCTTCTCTCCTTGACTAGTTTCCATCCGTTGCTTCTTGTCCTGCCCTCAGGAGCCTTGGAGAATAGCTTGACTTCCTCTTCTTTGTGGCAACCCTGAGATATTGGAATACTGCTACCATGTTATCCCTAGTCCTTCTTTTCATTAAACTAGACATACCCAATTCCAGCAGCCTTTCCTTATATGTTTTAGCCTCCAGTCTCCTAATCATCTTTGTTGCCCTTCTCTGCACTCTTTCTAGAGTCTCAACATCTTTTTTACATCGTGGTAACCAAAACTAGATGCAGTATTCCAAGTATGGCCTTACCAAGGCATTGCAAAGTGGTATTAATACTTCACGTGATCTTGATTCTATCCCTCTGTTAATGCAGCCCAGCACTATGTTGGCTTTTTTGGCAGCTGCAGCACACTGCTGGCTCATATTTAAATGATTGTCCACTAGGACTCCGAGTTCCCTCTCACAGTTACTACTATTGAGCAAAGTACCCCCTATACTATACCTGTACATTTGGTTTTTCTTGCCTAAATGTAGAACCTTACTTTTTTTTACCATCGAATTTCATTTTGTTAGATAGCGCCCAGTGTTCAAATCTGTCCAGGTCCTCCTGTATCTTAAGCCTGTCTTCTGGAGTGTTGGCTATTCCTGCCAGCTTGGTGTCATCCGCAAATTTGATGAGTTCCCCATTTATCCCCTTGTCCAAATCATTGATGAAGATATTGAAGAGCACTGGGCCCAGAACAGAGCCCTGGGGCACCCCACTTCACACTTCCCTTCATGTAGATGCGGTTCCATTGAGGACCACACACTAAATATGGCCGGTCAGCCAGCTACAAATCCATCTGGTGGTGATGCTGTCTAACCCACATTTTTCTATCTTATCAAGTAGTAGTTTGTGATCTACTTTATAAAATGCCTTACTGAAGTCCAAGTAAATTATATCCACAGCATTCCTCTGATCCACTAATTTTGTCACTTGGTCAAAGAATGCAATAAGATTTGTCTGGTATGATCTGTTTTTGACAAACTCATGTTGGCTTTTAGTAATGACTTTGTTTGCCTGTTGGAGACTGCTGATTTGTTGTTTGATTATCTTTTCCAGAATCTTCCCAGGTATTGAGATCAGGCTGATAGGTCTGTAATTTCCTGGATCCATTTTTTTTTCCTTTTTTGAAGATGGGAACTACATCAGCTCTTTTCCAGTCCTCTGGTAGTTCCCCAGTGCTTCAGGATCTTTGAAAAATATAGTTCAGTGGTTCTGAGATCACATCTGCCAGTTCCTTGAGAACCTTGGGGTGTAATCCATCTGCTCCTGGTGATTTGAACTCGTCTAGGCTGGACAGGTGCTCACTTACCATTTTCTTGCCTATCTTAATCTGTGTTTCTATTCTGTTTTTTATGGCACTATTTTTGATAGGTTGGTCTGTTTTTTTCCTTTGTGTAAAGACAGATGCAAAAAATGAGTTAAATAATTCTGCTTTCTCCCTATTGCTTGTCACCTTCTTGCCACTTTCACCCACTAATGGACTAATAATTTCCTTCACTTTTTTCTTGTTTTTTACATGTTGAAAGAAGCTTTTTTTTTGGTTATTTTTGACTTTGGTCGCAAGCCTTAGTTCATTATGAGCCTTAGCTTTCCTCACTTCATCTTTGCAGGCTCGGGCTATTTACTGAAATTCTGATTTTGTTATATGCCCTCTTTCCACTTTCTATACTTGTCCTTTTTATCTTTCAATTTATCAGAGAGTTCTTTATGCAGCCATGATAGTCTCTTTTGAGAGCTGTTATTTTTCCTCTTCGTTGATATTGTGCTAGACTGGGCTTTTATTATCTCGCTTTTTAAAATTTCCCAAGCTTCTTGAGTTGTTTTCCCCTTGAGGATTCTCATCCATGGAGTCCTTCCCAAGCCCTCTCTAAGTTTATTGAAATTAGCTCTCTTGAAGTCCAAGACTCTAGTTTGACTGTGTTCTATTGCTTATGCTTCCATAATGTTGAATTCCAATATTCCATGATCACTACCTCCCAAGGTTCCTGTGGCTTCAACGCCTTCTATCATTTCATCTCTGTTAGTGAGAATTAGATCCAAAATGGCTAATCCCTTAGTTCCCTTCTCTACTTTTTGGGAGACAAAGTTGTCTTCTAGGTTTGTCAGGAATCTGTTTGATCTTCCACTTGGTGCAGAGTTTGTCTCCCAGTTGATGTCAGTGTAGTTAAAGTCCCCCATTACTATTGTGGTGTGCTTCCTATATACCTTAGTTAGCTGACTAGGAAAAAGTTAATCTATTTCCTCTGTTCGGTTGGGTGGCCTATAGTATACACCTATGGCGATGTCATTTTTTCTCCCTTTTATATTGACCCAAATGCATTCAAGACAGTTTTTATCATTGTTGTGCTCTATTTCTGTAGAGATGTAGTTATTTCTTATATAGAGAGCAATTCCACCTCCTCTTTTATTTGGTCTGTTTCTTTTAAATAATTTAAATCCCTCTAGCTGTGTGTTAATTTTCAGCAGGAACTGTGTGATGTCCAATGTGGATATAAAATCTGAGGGCTAGTAAGAAAATATAGTATTGCTTCAAGGCATTGTCCCTTCATCTAGATCAGGGGTGTCAAATTGCCAGCCCGTGGGCCGGTTGCATCATGCGGAGGCCACACCCACCCCAGCTCTGGCAATGCAAAAAAAGTTGCAATATGTCGCAACATGTCATGTGACGCGGTGAGTTTGACACCCGTGATCTATTCTAGATCATTTATGGAGATATTGAAGAGTACTGGGCCTAAGACAGAACTTTCAGATATCGCACTGCATGCTTCCCTCCATATACAGTAGATATAGTTCCATTGAGGGCTACCTGCTGAGTGCGGTTTGTAGCTGGTTGTGAATCTATCTGGTGGTGATACTGTCTCTCCCACATCATTCTATCTTTCTAAAAAGTAGGTTGTGATCTACTTTGTCAACTAGCTTACTGAAGTCCACAGCATTTCCTTAGTCCACTAATTTAGTCACTTTATCCAAAAATACAGGTTGTTTTTGGCACAATCTGTTTTTAATAAACTGAAGCTGGCTTCTATTAATCACCTTATTCATTGTTCACAAATCTGCTGCTTGATTTTTTTTTCCAGGATCTTCCCAGGAATTGATGTTAATTGGCCTGTAGTTTCCTGGATCCCTCCTCCCCCCCCCTTTTTTTGAAGATGGAACATCAGCTCTTTTCCAGTCCTTTAGTAGTAGTAGGTGTGAACTTAAATGGACTCCAGAAGATGGTAGAGGACAGGAAGACCTGGAGGAACGTTGTCCATCGGGTCGCGATGGGTCGGACACGACTTCGCAATTAACAACAACAAGTAGTAGTGATCCAGGATATTTGAAAGTTATGGTTCAATGGTTCTGAGATTTTGTTGGTCAGTTCCTTCAGAATTCAGGGATGTAATCCATCTGTTCCTGGTGATTTGAACTCATCTAGGATGGATAGGTGTTGTCTTACCATTTTCTTGTCTATTTTAACTTGTATTCCTAGTCTGTCTTTTAGGGTTCTGCTTTTGGTAGGTTAGACTTTTCTTTTCTGTGAAGACAGATGCGAAGAATGAATTTAGTAGTTCTGCTTTCTCCCTGCTGCTCATCATCTTCTTGCCATCTTCTCCCATTAGTGGACTCATTTTTTTTTCTTTGACTTTTTTCTTGGTTTTTACATGTTGAAAGAAACTTTTTTTTAATTTATTTTTTTTTTGACATTTATTGTAAGTCTTAGTTAATTCTGAGCCTTAACTTTCCTGACTGCATCTTTGCTGGTGTTCTGCCTTAGTTATGTGTCCCTCTTTCTATTTTTTTCCTTGTTTTTTTTTTTTTTAAGTTGGGAACCATATCAGCTTTTTTCCAGTCCTCCAGTAGTTTCCGGGTGCTCCAGGATGCCTGTTAGAGAGAGATCCAATCTGGAACTAAGGAGGAGAACAAAACTGTGAATTCTCCATTGCTGGAGGTTTTCAAGAAAAGATTGAACATTAATTTGTCCAGGATGGTATAAAGACTCTTGCCTTGGACAGTGGATTGGACTAGAAGACCTCCAAGGTCCCTTCCAACCCTATGATTCTATGATTTTATAAAACTGGTCTTTGCCAGCTGAATTACCTGTTTCATTGTAGCGTTCCAAATGGCTGTAAGGTCTTCTTGCCTCCCATAGTCTTCTTTTAAAGTCTTCATGGCCCAGTTTTTCAAGTGTTCAACAAATATATTTGTCTGGAGTCAAGAGGCATATTAATGGTAAATGATAATATTACAATTTGTCACTTCACTTCCATATCATACTATTTAAAATGTCATCTGCTTTATCAGCTGTTCAACATCCTTCACTACATTGGGATGAATTGTGTCATCAACATGCTAAATCAGCCTGCCTAAATTTGGTGTCCTTTAGACCTATTGGACTATACTTCCAGATATCCTAGTAGGATGGACATTGGGTGGCCTGTGGAAAGATGGTGGACATCGGGAGGGGGGAAAGGAAATACATAGATGCCTCAAAAGGGGGCCCTGGAAAAACAACTGACATATTCAGAAACAATCATTTCATATTGGCAGGAAGACAACTCAGGTCCTTCCATCTCATTTAGTAATTTATGAATCTCATCCAAGAGCACTTGTTCTGATGCCCACTTAGGACACTTCTGGGAGATTGAAGCATTGCCACACTTATCAGTACTCCTCACAAGTGCCCAAAACAATCCTTTTTGTTGTTGTTTTTTACATGAATATCCCTTTGGTATTTTTTCAAAACACAATGGAACTATATGTCTTGTGTGCAAACTAGATAGTGCTACTTTTCTTTTGTTAAATGGCTCAATTTGTCTTCATGATGTCTCACTGTCTCATTGGACTGAAGGGGTATCAATCTTCAAATGTCAGCCATGACTTACCACAGTGGAGAAAATCAGCACCACAACAGCACACACCACTTCGGCTGTGAATATTACCAGTATAACTGCAAAAAACTAGAAACAGAGAAATATGCTGTTCACTACCAGCAAAGCCAGAGCTTGGAAATGCTGGTTAATGATTACAGCGGGTTCACGGTTTAGGCAAAATCTAAATAAAGTGACAATCCAATGTTTTTAAATAGAGAGATTCAATATTGCATCATACTGTAGTGAATAGACAAGGTATGTTATTCTTTTTTGTTGAGTTTGTTCTCATAGTATTAATAATATCTATAGAGCAACACATTTTTAGGCATACTGCACTTTTACTAACTATAAATAAGATGGATAGAAGGCAACATCCTGCCAAAAATGAAGTGCCCTGAGACTGCCCCCACATCACATTTAAGGAACAGCCTATTTGATAGGATGAAGCAGCCAGATGATTTAACTAAGCTGTTTCTAAACTGCATAGGCTTCATAGAGAGATGAATGTTTGATGTCATGATGAATAAAATCAAGATTAGCCTACCTTGACTCTCTTGGGTATAAGAAGGAGAAACTCTGTTAGGCTTCAAGATTCTGTTATTAAAGCCTATTTCAATAAAGTAGTCTATTATTTGTGATGCTTGTTTTCTGATCTGATCTGTGTTAAGGGGCTGACAGGTTATTTCAAATGTCAAATAGCATTCAGTACTAGGGCTGTGCAGCATTTTTAATTTGAAAGCACTTATGTGCTTCAGAGCACATATGGATATGTCCTCAGGACCTATCCACAACTCCTTTAGCCTTTCATTAGACTTTTGCTGATAAAGAAAGAATCTAACTAGAATAATTCTTTGTACTATCTATTAACATATTAAGAGAATCCTAAGTAACAGAAAATAACTGTTTTCCACCCAACTAAATTTTTTTGAGTAATACCAATGTTGAGAACTGACTTCAATCCAGCCCTATAAAATAAATAGGAATAAAAAATGCTTGAAAAAAAGCCTGGTGATCCTTTCATGATGAATGGTGGCTGGGACATTTATTTTGGGACTCTACCAGCATATCAACATTCAGAAGAACTAGGAGGCAGAAAATGTCCAGGAGCATAAGTAAAGTCAAGATGCCAGTAGCCCTGTGTGAACTTTACAGCTTAGCAATTTCATGACACCCACATCTGGTCCATGGCAAGATCTTTTTGCAAATCACTTACTACCAGCAGGAGACATCTGCTTTCTTTCACAGCTCCCCAGCATCCCAAAAAGCCCATGCTGAAAAGGATGCTGCCAACTGTTATGCACAGGTAACCCACATGGAGCAGAAGCATCATCTGTGGTGCAGCAACTCCAAGGATCTTCTCAAAGGAATCACCATCTACCTTCACCCAGATACCAATGCCCAGCAAAGCCAGGCCTCCTAGCTGGGAGGAAAATGGAGAAAAACAAGAAGGTATCAGTTCTGCACTACAAAGTTCTAATTCTGCAATAAGAGCCTTTGAGCAAAGACTGTTAGCTGCCTTAAAATTTCATTCCTAAGAAACTGAACCAGTATCGACTGACTGATTAGAAACATTCATAAATTTCCCCCTTACTGCAATGGATACTCAAGGTAACATACAATCTATACAAGTAGTCCTTGACTTATGACTATAACTGAGCCCAGAATTACATAAGTTATTGCGATTATAAGTCAAGGTACTCACGTAACTGGAAGTAATTTTCCAGCCTTTTTTGCAGCAATCGTTAAACTGCAGTTATTAAGTAAAGGCTACAGTTGTTAAGCCAACCGAGTGTTTTTTATTGGAAACCAGCATAAAATGCTGGAAACTGACAAAAACATTGCAAATCATGGTCATGTTATCATGGTAGGCCACAAACAGTCATAAAGTTGACCCCCCTGACATGTAGTCAATGATTATGGGAGGCAGTGTGACCATTTATGACAGCTGGAGGTGCTTGACAGCAGGGGTCCCCAACCTGTGGTCCGTGGTCCACTGCGGGGTCATGGCCTATTGGCCACTGGGCCACATGAGTGGCTGGCTGGTGCCTGAATATGCACATACATACACAGCCCCACTTGCATGAGTGTTGCCATGAGCGTGGCAGGCATGCACGACCACACTCGCACGAGTGTTGCTGTGAGCCTCGTGGGCGTTCATAGCTCCACTGGTATGAGTGACACTGTGAGCACTGCTGACATTTGTGGCCCCATTTGCATGATCATTGCAAGTGTTTACGGCCCCACTTGCACAAGTGCTGATGGCATCTCATGTGAGCAACAGGAGTTTGTGTGCGCATACGCACGTGCATTTACCCCCCCCCAATCATACCTTCTTTTCCCTCCTCCCCCCATTCCGGGCCACCACACGAAAGGTTGGGGAATTCTGCTTTATAGGCTGTAAAGCATTCATTCTATAGCCATTTAACTTTAAATGGACATAAAACAACTGGTTGTTAACCAAGGACTATCAGTAATAAAATAGGTTAAAAAGTAATATATAAAAAAGCTAAAATAAAACAGAGCAGTATCTTTCTTAATAGAAAGCAAAGAATGGGCATTAAAATCCATTCAGAGTTTGGTGGAATATTTCAGTCATAATAACTGCATCCTTTTGAAAGATTACTGCTTTATTTGTGATAGTATATAGTCTGGATTCCCAGGAATGACAGGATGCATTCCAGAGAACTAAGAGGCAGCTTAATTGTGATAGTTGTGTGAGGCAAAGTAAGTGAAGACTATCCCTCCCTAATAGTTCTGAGTTTGTAGTTTATGCATGTTGTGGGCAGCAGGATGCTTCAATTTGGCAAGATTCTGATTGTTTGTTTATTTATATTAAATTTGTTTGCCACCCATCTTGCCACAATGTGATTCTACAGATGAGGAACAATAAAGAAATCTACTTGGTAGAATCAGCACGTCTTTCTTTGTTTCTGGAGCCTGACACTAACTAGATACTGTATATCTGCCAACACTACAGATTGTCCTCATTTAACATCCATTCATTCAGTGACAACCTGAAGCATTTTTCACTGACCTTTGGCTGTCTGCCTATCTACTGCTGCCAGCTGTTTCTGCTGCTATGTCCACCACTGTCACTTCCACTTCATAGTATACCACTAGTATACCAGCCCATGGCCTCTGTTCGCATCCCACCCAGGATTTCTGTTTTGTGCCTCCATTTGTGCCCCCACTCCAGAGCCCCATTCAGATATTAGTCAAGGCTTCTGTTTGTGAGCTAGCGGGGTGCAAATGGAAGCCCAGGCTGGTGCACAAGGTAGACGGTGGCTGCACTAGCATGGAAGAAGGTGGCATGAAAGAAGACCCTGGCTGGTACTGTACTGGTACATAATGCAGTGAGCATCTGGTATGGGAGCAGTAGGGAGGTCTGGATGGCAGCGGCGGCAGCAGCAGCTAACAGCAATGGGTATATGGGTGGCGAAAAGAGCAGAAATGTAGGAGAGAGGTGGATGGGAGAAAATGAAGTGGAGGCCATTCCTTACCTTTTTCCAACAGTGGCTTGGGTTCTCACCTAACGACTGTGTGGTATTCATTCAAAGACAGCAACTGGGAATGCCAGAACTGCTGCTGCTGAGTGGAGCAGTCATGTAACATTTCACTCATCAACAGGGTTGCCAGTCCCAATTAGGGTCGTGATAGCTACTTATACTGAGAATGGAACTATTTGTTGGTGAGCAAACACACATACTTTAATAGACAAACTTGCAGAGAAGGATGGGTATGTAATCCTTCAATTATTCCTTGCAATTATTTTTATCATTCTATGTTGGACAGGAAGTGATTTGCTAAGAACTGGAGGATGGAGGAAATTGGGACCATTCCCAATGCATGCCATTACATTATAAGAGAACAATTGTGGGAAACCATTTTTTCTTTCATATTTTTCTGTTGTAACCTAAGGAACATATTAAGATTGCTTTCCTATGCTGAGTATTTCCACACATGAGGCTCATACTGTTCTTAAACCTCTCACATCTGCACATCATAGATATTTTGAAAAAGTGTATTTTATGGATCTGTTCAACCTCCCAAACTATTTATCTCTCTGCCGCAACCAGTTGCCATCAACCCTAGCACATACTTACAAAGATCACTCCATTAAATACGAACATCATCATCTTTAGGAAGGAGAAACAGATATTCATTTTGTACCTGCAGCCAAGAGAATGATAATTATCATTTTGGTGAGAAAAACATAAAAGGCTGACTGTGAAAGTTAGTGCAGGATTTGGCCATATTTTGGGAGCATAAAACAAAGACATTAAAATTAATGACAAATTTGTGATTTTGGCAGTTCAGTTCTAGATTGTAGATTTTAAAATAACATCAATTTTCTGTTACCTATCATTTGCTCCCAAATATATGTACAAAATTTAAACAGCTGAAAAATTCCAATTTCAACAACATCACCATGTCACTGCAGTGTCTCATACAACCATCTCAGATCCTTCCGGAATTAAGAGTGCAGACTTAAATGTACTTGTCCACCATGTTGTTCTATTTTGGGGCATTAACATTATACAAAATACAGAAGAGGAATCAGAAACAATGTTAAAGTAATTAAAGGTGTGAGGTAGAAAAAAGGAAAGGAAATACAACAAATTATTGTTTATACCAACACTGTTCAATATAACAAACTTTTCTATCCTTACTTCTTAGATATGGCTATCCTTCCTCCTCCTCCTCCTCCTCCTCCTCCTCCTCCTCCTCCTCCTCCTCCTCCTCATTCTAGCCATTGCCTATCCACTGCAAGATGAAGGCCTCTTCCACATATTTCCAACCAATACAGTCCTGAGCTTTCTTTTGCCAGTTGGGCCTGCAATACTTGCTGATGTCGTTGATCCGTCTTGTTTTAGGTCTCTTTCATGGATGCTTTTTGTTGTGTCCTGAGCCTGCAAATGCAGGCTCAGGACATTGCAAGGTTCCTGGGCAATTGCAAAAGCTGCCCGGGACCAGATTGCCGACCAAGTGTGCATGCGCAATTTGCGAAAAGTGTCTAGTAATGTTGCCATCTTGTCCAGGGAATGGGGACATATAAAAGGAGGCCTGTGTGCCTTTGTTCGTTGTTGGAGTTTGAAATAAGCACAATAAAGAGCTGTTCCAGAAACATGTGTATTCTTCATTCGCCATCGGTCCCAGGACTTAACACTGGTGACGAGGATGGGATTCTTAACAAGGAAAGCTAGAAGGAAGCTTTAAGACTTACCCAAAAGAAGTCCTGGAAGGGAAAACGGCGTTAAATTCAGCAGCTATCCTGGAGGGTGAGTTTGGCTGAGAGACCCTTTCCCTGCAGAAGTGAGTGGTGCAGTACAAACTACAATGGCGAAAATCGGCTGCTTGTCAGAATTCGACCTCGCACACCCAGAACGATGGGAATCATACGTTGCAAGAGTAGAGAACTATTTTAGGGTTAACCAAGTTCGTGAAGATGGGCTGAAGGCTGCCACACTGTTGTGTGTATGCGGCCAAGATACTTTTGAAATTGCTGAAAACCTCATGGCTCCTGCTTCGCTGGAAGGCGTAACATACACAGACTTAAAGAAACTTCTAAAAGAACATTTTCAGCCCAAGCTGTCCGTCATTGCATGGAGGCACACATTTGAACAAAGGGGTCAGAGAGCAGGAGAATCTGCTAAGGACTTTATCACAGCATTGAGGCAAACAGCTAGACCGTGTGAATTTAAAGACTTAGAGGAAAGACTGCGTGATCATTTTGTGTGTGGACTGAGAAATAGAGACTTACAGCAAAAGATCTTTGCAAAAGAAGACATTTCATTCCAAGATGCTCTATGAGAAGTTACAGCAGAGGAAGCAGCAGGCGGAACAGTAAAAAACATGCGGCCCACCAGAAGCCCTCCAGAGACTGTTGCTGTCCACCAGGAGAACGTGCAAGAGGATTCAGAAGAGGTTCCTGAAGATGAGGTGAATAAGCTCTACCAGGCAGCCGGAAGGAGAGACAGAGACAGAGACAGAGAGATCGCACAGAGAAGGCCTCAATAACTTCACAATGCTTCGGATGCAGAGGACGCCACAGAAGAACAGACTGCCAGTTCCAGTTCGCCATTTGCAGGGCCTGTGGAAGGCAAGGCCACATTGCAGCCATATATCTGAGTCATCAGAAGGTACAACCTAAAGAAGAATTGCATCTGAAAGGTACCTGGGTCCTCAGCCAAAATAGGGTGGGTTTCTGTGCAACACGCAGAAATATTCTGAGGACAGGCACACATAAACCCCTATGAGCCGAGGTGGCGCAGCAGTTAGAGTGCAGTACTGCAGGCCACTTTAGCTGACTGTGTTCAGCAGGTCAGCGGTTCAAATCTCACCGGCTCAAGGTTGACTCAGCCTTCCATCCTTCCGGGGTAGGTAAAATGAGGACCCAGATTGTTGGGGCCAATGTAAATATATATATACATTGCTTACTGGTGTACACCGCTTAGAGAGTGCTTGCACTTAAAGCGGTATATAAGTCTCATAAATAAATAAATAAATAAATAAAATAAAAAAGAAGTTGTCCCTTAAAGTAAAGTTGCAAGGGGTTTCTTTATCCATGGAATTGGACACTGGTTCCGCTTTCTCCATTATTTCCCTCAACACATTCAGGAAGATTTGCAGCAGCAATGGCCGTCGAGTGAAACTCAGGCCATCCACTGTGATACTTACACACTTTCAGAATTCTAAGACGTGTGTTAAGGGGGAGGCCACCCTTAAGGTACAGTACAAGGATTTTGAGGGTTCTTTAGATGTGTTGGTTGTTGGGGTGAACGTGCGAGTCTTATTGGACTCGATTGGTTTGAGGCTCTGGGAATCCAGGTCACGGGGCTGCACCATTTGCAAATGTCTAGCCTTGCAGAAGTCTGCAGAGAATTTGCAGATGTGTTCAGCTCTGAGCTTGGAACTTACAAGGGGCCTCCAGTTTCACTACGATTAGATCCATCCATAGCACCCATTAGGGTCAAGCCTAGGAGAGTTCCGTTTGCACTTAAAAACAAGATTGATGCTGAACTGGACAAATTGCTCCAAAGGGCATTCTAGAGCCAGTAGATTCAAGTCCTTGGGAAACCCCCATAGTAATGCCTTTAAAGGCTAATGGGGACCTTCGTATTTATGCGGACTACAAGTGCACACTAAACAAGGCACTACAGCAACATGCTTATCCAGTACCTGCAGTATCCAGTCACATTCTGGCTTCCCTAAAGGGGGGGGGATTTTTGCGAAGCTTGACCTGGCACAGGCCTATCAACAGTGGCCTGTTGATGAGACAGCTGCTGAGGCTCAGACGATTGTGACTCATAGAGGAGCTTTTAAAGTGAAGAGATTGCAATTTGGGATAAATGTAGCCCCTGGTATTTTCCAGAGTATTATGGAGAACACACTGAGGGGTATTCCAGGAGTCTGTCCATATTTTGATAATGTCCTCATTGCAGGAGAATCACCTCAAATCTCGGCTGAGAGATTAAGGGCTGTCTTGCTTCGTTTTAGGGAAGCAGGTCTCAAGTTAAAAAAGGACAAGTGTAAGATAGGAGTCAATTCTACTGACTATTTGGGATTCAGGATAGATGCTCAAGGTATCCACCCTTCTGAAGCTAAATTAAAGGCCATTCAGCAGGCCCCAAGCCCTAAATCTAAAGGGGAACTACAAGCCTTTTTGTGGCTACTAAATTTTTACCATGCCTTTCTTCCAAACAAAGCTGCTATAGCTGAGCCATTGCACAGGCTCTTAGATACACAAGCCTGTTGGCAGTGGACTAAGGTCCATGAAAAAAGTTTCAATGAGGTTAAGGCCTTGCTTACTTCTAATGCTTTACTGGCTCACTTCAATGAGCAGTTGCCTGTTTGCATTGCCTGCGATGCTTCTCCATATGGAGTGGGGCAGTTCTTAGCCATCTGTTGGCTGATGGGACACAGGTCCAGAACCTTGTCTTCTGCTGAGCGGAACTACGCTCAAATTGACAGGGAGGCGCTAGCCATTGTGGCTGGCATTAAAAAGTTTCATGATTTCATATACGGCCATTTCACGGTCTATATTGACCATAAGCCTCTGCTAGGGTTGTTCACCACAACCAAACAGACCCCACATATTCTTTCTCCTCGTATGCTGCGTTGGTGCATTTTCCTTTCAGCATATGACTACTCTTTAATTCACAAGCCTGGAAAGGAAATGGGTCATGCTGATGCTCTGAGTAGATTACCCCTTCCAACACTGGAGCCTGATCCTGTTCCAGCAATTAATATTCTGTCCATTCAAGAGCTGCCTGAGTCTCCCCTCAATGCAAGGGATGTGGCTGCTGAAACTGTCACTGACCACACGTTCACACGCGTTCTGTCATGGGTGTTGTCAGGATGGCCTGACAGATGCCTTGATACTGAGTTTCAGAGTTTCTGGCAAAGAAGACATTTGTTGTCCACTTTCAGGGATTGTCTGCTATGGGGAAGTAGGGTAGTAATCCCTAACTCACTGAGGACTAGAGTGCTGCATTCTTTACATGAGGGACACCCTGGCATAGTCAGGATGAAGGTGCTTGCGTGCAGCCATTTGTGGTGGCCTGGCCTTGATAAAGCCATTGAGGCTCAAGTGCATGGGTGCCATGTGTGCCAACAGTCCCGGCCTGAAATGCCTCAGGCCCCAGTTCATAGATGGGAGGAAACTCACACCCCATGGTCCAGGGTACATATAGATTACGCTGGGCCCTTTCAGGGGCACTTCTTGGTTGTTGTTGATAGCCATTCTAAGTGGCTAGAAGTTGTTCCTGTGTCCTCCACTACTGCTGCCAAGACTATCCAGGTGCTGAGAAGTATTTTTGCAACTCATGGCCTTCCAGATGTTCTCATTTCAGACAATGGTCCTCAATTCACCTCTTCTGAGTTCCAGGTTTTCCTCCAGGCCAACTTAATCTGCCATGCAACTTCTGCTCCTTTCCATCCATCCACCACCGGAATGGCTGAACATATGGTGCGTACCACCAAGAATGCCCTTAAGAGACTGACTTACGGTGACTGGCATCACAGGTTAGCAGACTTTCTTCTTGCACATTGCACCACACCTTGCACTGCCACTGGAAAGAGCCTGGCTGAACTTTGTTGGGGTCGCCAGCTCATTACCAAGCTGGACAGACTGCACCCTGACCGGGTGGCGTCTCAAGGGTCGCCTCCAC